TAGGGGTTTTAAAGGGTTAACCTTTGGGATTACAAGGGGAAGACACCACCCCAAAAAGGTTAGAGGTTACCTACTCTACTACTAAGATGAACCCTGGTTAAAGGGTTTAAGGTTTACAGGAAGGTCAGGAACCGAAGCGCGAACTGCAGACCGGACCGCACGAACTGTTCCAGCTAGGAACAGCAGGCGAACCGGAAAAGCCAGAACCAATGGAACCGCAAAAAAGGAAACGCAGGAACCGATACCCTGCATACCCCCCCCCCCCCCCCCCCCCCCCCCCCCCCCCCCCCCCCCCCCCCCCCCCCCCCCCCCCCCCGACCTCCTCCACCCCTCCCCACCCCTCCTCCTCCACCCCTGCTCCTCCACCCCTCCTCCACCCTGAAACCCTAAACCGGGGGGGTCCTCCCCCCAAAGGGGCTTAAGCCCCCAACTATCCCCACACCCAAGAGTAGCCTAGGAATAACAAGGGTGCCCTTTTGGTTTAAAGGAGTTTTGCAGGGAAGCTAAACCCTAAAGAAAGGCAATAAGGGCACCCTAAACCCTTAACTCCAAACCCTAAACCCTAAACCCCAAAAAAGGAATAAGGGCCTACTCTGGGCCAGCGCTTCCCCACACCTGGCACATCAATACGTGTTTTTTCTAAACCATCCTCCAGTCTCTACCGGCCCCGAATACCCCCTAGACCCCAAACCCTAAACCCTAAACCTCAAACCCTGATTCATAACTTCAAGGCTCTCCCCCTAGATAAACCCAAGGCTCTTCCTCTAAACCCCAACCCCTAAACCCTAGACCCTAACCCAAACACCAAACCCCAATCCCCAAACCCTAAACCCTAAACCCTAATCAGGAAACCCTAAACCCTAAACCCTAAACCCCAAACCCCGAACCCCATTCCCCAAACCCCAAACCCCAAATCCTAAACCCTAAACCCTAAACCCCAACCCGAACTTGCAGCCTGGGCTTTTTCACGTCGGGGTCTGGATTGGCCAAGAGGAGGTCATACTGCTCCTCCAGGTTTGTGTGCTAGGGTTTAGGGTTTAGGGTTTAGGGTTCAGGGTTCAGGGTTCAGGGTTCAGGGTTCAGGGTTCAGGGTTCAGGGTTTAGGGTTTAGGGTTTAGGGTTTAGGGTTTAGGGTTTAGGGTTTAGGGTTTAGGGTTTAGGGTTTAGGCGAGGGCGAGAGGAGGGCGCCGGGGAGCGGGGGGGGGGGGTCGCTCCCTACGCACTATGAACCCCTAAACCACGAGTTCAGGACAACATAAGGGATTTGGGGTTGTCGGTTCTAGGGTTGATATGGCTAAACCCTAAACCCTAAACCCTAAACCCTAAACCCTAAACCCTAAACCCTAAACCCTAAACCCTATGACCAAGCAAGAGGCAGCTCCTTCTCGACTCCGACCTCGGTGCACGCAGGCCCCAGCCCTCCCACTCGGCCAAGCTTCTACAAGTCCTTTTTTAAGCCCTAAACCCTGAACCCTAAACACTAAACACTAAACCCTAAACACTAAACCCTAAAGCCTAAACACTCAACCCCAGTACGCCCCCTGAGCCCGGAAATCCCAGAACCCCAAACCCTAAAGGGTTTGGGGTTTGGGGTTGGGGGTTTGGGGTTTAGGGTTTGGGGTCTTGGCTGCACTCAGGAGGGTAGCTATAAAATAAACTTTTTGCTGCCTCAATAAGAAACCCAATAAACCCAAAAAAGGTAAGGATCTAGAGTTACAGTAAAGTACCACAAAGGGGTTAACCCCTATAGCGCATCTGAGGACTTTGTGCGCAGCCAGCGACGAAGAACTTGAGATTCTGCTTCCCAAGGCACCGAGACATTATTCCAGACCCGGGGAGTAACCTAGGAATAAAAAGGGTGCCCTTTTTGGTTTTTAGGGGAAAAAAAGGGCCTACTCCCGGTCCTCGTTTTTACATATGCCATATACCCTAAACCCTAAACCCTAAACCCTTAAAGCCCTAAACCAACATGCGAGGCGTAAGATGTGCTGGCAGGGAACGCTCTCTGCAATCTTGTTGAGGAGGTCGTTCGTTGCCTGAGCTCCAGTTAACTACTTGGGGGGTTATAGGGTTGTATTGAAAGGTCACGCTAAACGCTAAACCCTAAATCCTAACCCTAAACCCTAAACCCTGGTATATAAGAACTCTGGGTCGCGGTATATACCCTTACAACAATGGAAAGATACCCAACACGCAGGAATTGAAGAAACTACCCATGTTCAAAAGATTGTAGACCCTGAACCCTAAACCCAAGGTTATACCTTATTACCCATGTTCAAAAATGTGTAGACCCTAAGCCCTAAGCCCTAAGGTTATAGCTTAGATAGGCTGGTGGTCTCTTTATCTGTTGCTGTATACCTTAATGTAGCCCGCCCCTATATACCCCTAATAGGAACCCTATGTATCCCCTGAAAAAACAGAAACCCCAATTAAATAGACCACCAACCTGTACAAGTTATACCCCTTAAATAACGTGCTCTGTATGGGACTGGCGCTTGGCACTGATCTGTACCCGGACAGTCACACGCTCCCGCTCCTCCTCTCGATGATGCATGAGGAGCCCTACCATACACTCACGAAAACACTATAATGTGCAGAACCCTAGACCCTAAACCCTAAACCCTAAACCCTAAACCCTAAACCCTAAACCCTAAACCGTAAAAGGGACAAGAATAAGAAAAAGAAGAAGAAGAAGAAGAAGAAGACAAGAGTTAGTGACAACAAAGGCCCTACCTTACGTAAAGATTCCGATGGGTTCGTTTTAGGGTTGCTGCTTGAAGACCCACACCCGAAAAAAACCCGGGGTTTAGGGTTTAGGGTTAGGGTTTAGGGTTTAGGGTTTCGGGCTTTAAGGTCTTAAGGATTGAGGGCTCTGAGGTTTAGCAGCACCTCGTTTCGGGACCTAGTTAAACAACCCCAGGACCCTCCAAAACGCCTCCAGCACGAAGCCCCTGCTTGGGTCTTAGGGGTAGTTACACGGTCCCTGAGTATGGTAGTATGGCTTTAGGGTTTTAGGGCTTAGGGTTTAGGATATGCAAACTAAGGGCCCATAAGGTTAGGGAGACCCTCTTCAGGGCCCATGAAACTACCCTCAGATTGGGGGTGCGCAGCTCCTTCTGAACCCTAAGCCCTAACACACGAAACCCTAAACCGCCTACTGCATAGAGTAAGTGTTGATGTCTCAAACCTTAAGCCCTCATCCCGAGACTATGACCGCAAACTCCCTGAACCTGAAACCCTAAACCCTAAATAAACCCCATAAACCATCAGCCCAGGGGCGTTGGCTTTCCGCTCCTCAATCAGTCGGTTCTTCTCTGCGTCCTGCTTCGAGGTTTGAGGCGCACGGGGTTAGTCTAGACACAGGTAATCTAAAGGGTGTATCGCGTAATTGCCCTAAACCCGAAACCCTGAAACCCTGTAAACCCGATAAACCCCGTAAACCCTGTAAACCGCGCAGACCTTGTAAACCCTAAATCCTAAACGGGGTAGTCGGGCGGTTGAGAGTTGGATGGGGTGGGGGGTGTGCGGGTTTGGAGAGTTCTAGCAATCTGAAGCCCCGAAAAAGTACCCGTAAGGGTCCATGTACCTAAATAGGGTATACTTGGGCCTTGCACCTCCTTTATAAGGACTTTGGGGCCCAAATAGATAACACGAGTAGTAAGGTACATGGACCCTTAGGGTTCGTGAAACCACTTTTCTTACTGCAAAGCGCGCTGTTCTAGTCGACCGTCTCGCCTCGTCATACGTCCTTGCGCAGCTGTTGGTTGCAGGATCTGCGCTGGGTGGTCCGGAGGTGGGTCCAAGCTTCGGATTTTTGAAGCTTTCTGAGAGGAGATGACCCCTGAACCCTAAACCCTAAAACCTAAACCCTAAAGTAGCTTCGAGATTTGCGCGTTCGTCCTAAAGCCTCTCTCTTCGCACCCCGGACCTGCGCAGCGTTCAGGACTGCACAACTGAACTGACGGAGCCATCGGCTCCATGTAGAGCGCCGTTTGGGACTGTGCCAGTGGTGGTTTAGGGTTTAGGGTTTAGGGTTTAGGGTTTAGGGTTTAGGGTTTAGGGTTTAGGGTGTGTCAGAGCAGAACAATGCTTGGTTTGCAAAGCTGGTAGGATGAAGGGTCTAGTCTAGTTCGGGTTTACAGATCCAGCTGCTCTGAACATCAGCCCGATGGGCTGATATGCCTACAGACTGTCAGGGTCTGCAGGCCTCATCAATTTCGTTGGAGTTTAAACAAAAGGGCCCAACGAAGACGCGTACAAAGCTACCGCGGGAGGATTTAGGATTTGGGGCTGCTGCAGTAGTGATACTCCCGTCATGAGTGGGCTGGGTCAAACGATCTTCGGATGCAAGAGATGTGGGGGTTTCCGAACATAGGGGGGGGGGTCCCTTTCAGGGGATTCTATTCTGTTTGGGAGTATAAAAGGGGCAACCCTATTTTGGGAAATACCGATATTCCGTCTGCAGTAGCGATATGCCGTCACGAGTGGGCCGGTTCAAAGGTCCTTCAGCAGTGCACGACAAATTCAAGGAGAGCCTCGATTGTTTGCGATTGCGAAAGTCCTTGCACAAAATCCGGATCCGAGCACAAGATCCCAAATAGAAACCCTAAACCCTTCGAGTCAAACAGGGCGACAAAGCTCCAGAACCGGTGCAAGGACAAGTTGCAATAACAAAGGCCATCCATCTCCGTCGACACCAAACGAATTCATGAAACACAGGGCCCTGCAAGGACTGACTTTGTGAGAAATGCCTCCGGTAGTTTCTGTCTTAATCTCTCGTTTTCCCAAGCAGGTGCCCGAATAAGAATGGCTGCGCGGGTCATGCTTCCCGCTTGTTGTCCGTGTCTCAGGACACAGGGCTAGTCGCTCGAGCGGGTAGTAGGGGCCCTGCAACTGTAGCTTAACACCCCCAGTGCTGTGCTATCCCCCTACCCCCGAATCTACAGCCACCATCGACTACCAAGAACATGTGAGGCGGGCCGTGGTGGATGGTGTTGTTCTTACCATGTGAAGAACCGGCTCACAGTGTCCTTGATGATGTCTGCTAGCTCTTCTGGGTGCTCCACAGGCTCTGACAAAGGGTAGGGACGCGTCTTCGGTTTTGCTGACGAGGACGAAGATGGCAAGCTTGGCATTTTCAAGTCTTCGCCTTCATTGGTTTCGTCCAAGATGGCCATGTCCTCATCTGTGAGGAAGAACATTCTGCGCTTTTCATCCTGGTTCATCGCATCCAGGAAGGACTTCTCTTTCGCATCGAGGAAAGTTGGGTCCATTCCATGCTTTTGGTCCAACAATGCGAGTTGGAGACGCTCCGTGTGCGAAGTGCATTGCATCTTGCACAACTTCGGCCTGCCTGCCGTAAGAAAATTGCTGACTGCCTCATCTTCCTCCCATTCGTCGCCCCCGCATGGATAGAAAGTCATGTGAACCTTGCCCATCTTGGCCATGTATGCCATCATCTGCTCCACTGTACTCTCGCTTGGAGTAGGTGGGGCGGGGGCAGCAAGGAACTCACACCAAGGTCCAAGCACTCTCGGTTTCGGTGGCTTGGCCTTGGGCGCGGCAATGGGATGCTGCTCTCTGTTCTCAGAAATCCAGGCTACACATTAGTCTCATAGACACTTAGCACCCCAAGTAGAAGCGCTTTCCAAAAACATGTGGTGTTTTTTTTCCGGAACTAGGTTACCTTATGTGGGGTCCTTATTGTAAGGGAATCCTACGATTTGGGGGTCTATGTTAAGGCTCCCCAATTTTCGTAAACATGATTGTCCTTGAGCTGCCACCCAAAACACCTCTAAGCCCTACACCCTAAACCCTAAACCCACCTTGAAGTCGAGAGGCGGGCTGCGCTTCCCCGATCGGCTGCAACCCAGGAGTTAGAGCTGGCTCCTGCAGTCCTGGCACCATCGGAGCATCAAGGCACACCTTTTCCATGGTCCTTGGTCGCCAACCGTATGATGGTGTTAGGGTTTCGGGTTTAGGGTTTAGGGTTTAGGGTTTCGGGTTTAGGGTTTACGGTGTAAGGTTCGTGACTTTGAAAAGGGAGCGTGTTCATTACCCAAAAGGGGCAAAAGGACACCACTCAGCCAGCAAGCAGCCCTTAACCTTAAATTCCAAAAGCCCTAAAAGCCCTCAACCCCTTTGCCACTCACCCTAAACCGCAGACCCTCACGGCGAAAATCCAAAAGCCTAAACCCTAAACCCTAAACCCTAAACCCTAAAACCCTAAACCCTAAACCCTAAACCCTTAACCCTTAACCCTGAACCCAAGCCCTTGAACCCCTTTGCCACTCGGCCACCAAGGGGCTGGCTGCCAACTGCAGGCAGGTCCCGTCACACTTTTTCGGCGTTGGGATGCTGCAGTGGCTGCGCCAGGTTCGGGACAGATCCCTAAACCCTAAACCCTAAACCCTAAACTTGGAACCTCAACCCTAAACCATAACCCTAGACCAGACATGTGTGTCGAATGTCGGCTGTTCTTTCGAGGGATTTCCAAAGTCGGGGGCTGTGGCGGCAGAACTGATGAAGATAGGGGTCGGAGGAGTTCCTAATCGTATTCCCCTATGGTCCCTTTATAAACCCTAAACCAGCTCTGGCCATTCGCACGGGTAATACGGACGTTCTCATCGTGCGGACATGGATGCTCTGGCCATTCTGGCCATTCGCACCCCCCCCGAAACAAGCGGTTTGTGCACACCCCCCCCCCCCCCCCCCAAACCAAGCGGTTTGTGCGGCTTTGCATGTGGTCGGAGGGCTAAACCAGCCCTAAACCCTAAGCCCAAGCTTCATGGGAGGGGTCCCTCAGAGCCCCAAACCCTAAAAATCAAGTAGGGTTTAGGGTTTGGGGTTTGGGGTTTAGGGTTAAGGGCTGAAAAGAGAGTTTTGTGGAACTGCCCTCTTTGCTACGAACTGCTACAGCTCGGACCGCATACTGCCAAAAACCACATAATAAACATGAGGATCCTACTATTGGGGTATAAGGGCCCCTATAAGGGGGATTCCGAAAAACCCTGTTTGTAGGATCGTTATGTTTATGTAGTTTTTTGGGCCCCGAATAATGCATAGTACTTTCAAGGGCTATATGAATGGAGCTGAGCAGAGAACCCTAAACTCAACGAGCGCGCTCAGCTTAGGGTTTAGGGTTAGGGTTTAGGGTTTAGGGTTTAGGGTTTAGGGTTTAGGGTTTAGGGTTTAGGGTTTAGGGTTGAGGGTTGAGGGTTGAGGGTTGAGGGTTTAGGGTTTAGGGTTTAGGGGTTAGGGGTTTAGGGTTTAGGGGTTTAGGGTTTATGGTTTATTGACTCAGCTTAAAGAAATGCAACACGATATACAAATACACAAATACTACCCACTCACGCATAGACACGTACACGTACATCTCTACTAGGTAGGCCCTTTCAATTGCCCGCCCCCCCCCCCCCCCCAGCACCACCACCACGCAAAAAACGAAGCCTAGACACGCTCATCTTAAGAGAACAAACGAAACATGTTCCAAGGGCCTACCTAGTAAATCCTAAACCCTAAACCCTAACACCTAAAGCTTAAACATCCAAAAAGCCTACATGTAGAACGATGATATTGTCCTGCTTGTCTTTCTTCTCTTGTTCGTCCGCCTTCCTCTTTGCCTCAGCACGTCTCTTCTCCTCTTTCTCTTGGGCCTGATCAGGGTTGGGGGTTTGGGTTTAGGGTTTAGGGTTTAGGGTTTAGGGTTTAGGGTTTAGGGTTTAGGGTTTAGGGTTTAGGGTTTAGGGTTTAGGGTTTAGGGTTTAGGGTTTAGGGTTTAGGGTCTTGGGGGTTTCGGGTTTAGGGCCCAGAGTCTCTGGGGTTTAGGATGTTAGGGTGTGTTGGGGGGTTCGTAGGGCTTTTAAGGTTTATAGGGTTTAGGGTCTAACATCAGGGTTTTAGGTTTGAGGCTTTAGAGCTTATAGGGTGCAGGGAGCAAGTCCTGAGGTCTATAGGCTTGCCTGGAAGCTCTTTTGACTTAGTGAGTAGGGGAAGTAGGTTGGGCTATGGCGTTTATAATAAAGCTTCTAGCGGATAGTAAGTAGACTTGCTAACTCAAAAGAGCTTCCAAGTAGGGTTGCTTAGCTGTTCTCTGAACCTGTATCAGAAGGGGAATGTCTACGAGGCTTGTGAGGAGAAACGAAAAGAAGTTAAGATACCTCAAGCCGTAAACCCTAAACCCTAAACCCTAAACGTAGGAAAAGAACTTTAGATGCCTTAAGCCCTAAAACCCTAAACCCTAAATGTAGGGATCCTTGGGCCAAATGGAGTGCGGCCCGTTTTGGCTTCGGATCTAAGCTAGACCCGGGGGTAACCTAGGAAGGGTTTAGGGTTTAGGGTTTAAAAAGGGTACCCTTCTTGGTTTTAAGGGGATTATAAGGGAACCCCAACCCTAAAAAAAGGGCAAACAAAGGGCCTACTCCCAGTCCTAGTAAGGTATGCGCCCTTGAGCTTTAAGTGGTCTATAAGGGTTTAGGGTTTAGGGTTTCCCAATTCAAGGGTTCTTATTCTGGGGGGCCTGGGGGGGAGGGGGGGGTGGTCTAGAGGGGCTTGGGGTTTAGGGTTTAGGGCTTCTGGCTTCCCCTACTACCCTGAAACGGTTCCCCCTGAATAAATTACCTGAATTCGGCTTGAGTATCCCTAAGTGGCCTTCAACATTATGGGAGAAACTGGGGGGCCGGGGGGGTAGAAAAGAGGGGAGTAGTAGGGGAACCCATGACATTAAGGGACCATGGAACTACGCTAAGAGTTTAGGGGTTAGGATCTGGGTTTTCTAGGGCATGTACCTTGAACCCTGAACCCTAAACCCTTGAACTTTCTAGGGCCCACACTAAGGGCTAAGTCGTATGACCCCAATTAGTGTTTATTTACGGTACTTACGACTCTACTCGAAACCCTAACCCCAAACCCTACACCCTAAACCCTCAACGGGAATCGCCTCTTTTATTTTGCGCTGCTCTTCTTCCACTTTGGCCATCTCTGTATACCTTGGAAAATTGGGATCTTCCCCCTTATACTAAAGGATTATAGCACCCCAGTTAGAATCCCTAATAAGGACTGTTAGTATGAAGGGGAGCATCCCAATTGTCATGCCTTAAGAGGCCAAAACCTACTTCGTTGTAGAGGACAACTATAAAAACCCCTTATACTCCTTATACTGGGCTCAAGAGGAACCTAGGAATAGCAGGGTGCACCTTTTGGTTTAAAGGGGTTTACAAGGAACCCAAACCCTAGAATAAAAAAAAAACAGGGGAATAAGGGCCAACATAGTCTGGGTCTTAGTATCGGCTTCCTAGGTCACTCCTAGGTCACCTGCCAAGAAGTGTGGGTTCTCGAAAATAAGAGACCCCGAAAAGACCCCAAATAGTAGGATTCCGTTATAGTAAGGACCCCCAATAAGGTACCCACCATCTCCCTAGACCCTAAACCCTAAACCCTAATCGGAAACCCCCCAAGTAGGTTTGGGTTTCTTGAGGTAATTACCCTCAGGGTTTGGGGTGCGTCAATCGCATGATCTTCGGCCCACAGGTCGCTACGAAGGAACAGGAGGGTTTAGGGTTTAGGGTTTGGGGCTTGTTCCTGATGGGTTGGGGTTGGGCCTAGAGCCCCAACTCGGCGATCAGGTAAGGGGTTCGGTTGTTTGAGGCGTGTAGGACTGGACAAGTTTGACTGACATGAGATTCAAGCTGGTGGGATTTTGCGTTTAAACCCTAAACCCTAAACCCTAGACCCTAAACCCTAAACCCTAAACCCTAAACCCTAAACCCTCAAAAGTAAAGGATCTGAGGCAATCCTCTGCTTCCTTTTTGCGGAGCATGTTTGTCGCAACCCCTGGGCGCAATGACGTCGCCCAAGTCGCTTGTAATTACAAGGCTCTACTGGCCCTACACCTCTGCACCCAAAGCGTCAACCCTCCTTTCAACACCAAACCCCCCCAGGACCCTGAACCCCAAATGCCCTTCAACCCCTCCAGCCCGTCGGCAAATAGGGCAAGAGTGCCGCCTAAATCCTGAACCGAAATGATCCCTACATGACCCTGGAATTCACCCCTAAACCCCAAACCCTAAACCACCCTAAACAGCAAAACCCTGAGCCCTAAACCCTAAACCCTAAACCCTAAACCCTAAACCCAAAACCCTAAACCCTAAACCCTAAACCCTAAACCCTAACAACTGAGAGCCGAGGCTGGGTGTCGAAGCCCAGCATGACCTGTCCAGGTGCGACGAAGCCCAGGCGCTCGCGACCCCCAAACCCTAGCTCGGGTTTAGGGTTTAGGGTTTAGGGTTCAGGGGTGGGTTCAGGGTTTAGGGGTTCCCTACATCTCTCAAAAAGGGCTTCTAAGTAGGGCTTTTGGGTTTAAGGCTTCGTTTCCGTTTTTCGGGTTTGGGGCTCAGGGTTGTCTCAGCACGCCAACGACCAAGCCGTTCATAGAATTTAAAGTTTGGGGTTTTAGGGTTTAGGGCTTTAGGGTTCAGGGTTCAGGGGGTTTCAAGGTAGGGGCCACCTTTTCTTTTTCTTGTTTTTTTTTTTTTTTTGTGGGGGGGGGGGGGGGGAGGTTTTCGCAAGGGTTTAGGACGAATGCTATTTTTGTTAGGGGGGGGGGTGTATCGGGCGTAACTTTGGAAATACTCACATGCTAAGCCCCCTATACATGTAAGCCCCGCATGGCTCCAAGCATAAGAAAAGGGCACAAAACTCTTTGGACCCTAACCCTTGCCCCCCCAACTCTTGAAGCTTTGAACCCGAATTCGGGTTGAACCCCCAAAACCTTAAACCCTAAAAACTATAAGTACAGTAACTATAGCCCGATTGTGGGCTTGCCTTCTCCCCTTCGCGCCGGGCGCGTGCGCCAGGGATAGTGATGTCCTGGGCATGTTTGGATTCGGGGTTCAGGGTCTACGGTCTTGGGTTTGGGGGTTGAAGGTTTTAGAGTT